GCAGGCAGAACACTGCATACATATAGTAAGTAAATGGATGGAAATAGAAAACACTATCCTGAGTGAGGTAAGCCAGACCCAAAAAGAGGAACATGGGATGTACTCACTCATATTTGGTTTCTAGCCATAAATAAAGGGCATTGAGCCTATAATTCGGGTTCTTAGAGAAGCTAAATAAGAAGGAGAACCCAAAGAAAAACATATAGGCATCCTCCTGAATATTAACCTTTATTAGGCGATGAAAGGAGACAGAGACCCACATTGGAGCACCGGACTGAAATCTCAAGGTCCAAATCAGGAGCAGAAGGAGAGAGAGCACGAGCAAGGAACTCAGGACCGCGAGGGGGGCACCCATACACTGAGACAATGGGGATGTTCTATCGGGAACTCACCAAGGCCACCTGGCCTGGGTCTGAAAAAGCCTGGGTTAAAACCGGTCTTGCTGAACATAGCAGACAATGAGGACTACTGAGACCCCAAGAACAACGGCAATGGGTTTTTGATCCTACTGCACCTATTGGTTTCGTGGGAGCCTAGGCAGTTTGGATGCTCACCTTACTAGACCTGGATGGAGGTGGGTGGTCCTTGGACTTCCCACAGGGCAGGGAACCCTGATTGCTCTTTGGGCTGACGAGGGAAGGGGACTTGATTGGGGGAGGGGGAGGGAAAGGGGAGGCGGTGGTGGGGAAGAGACAGAAATCTTTAATTAATTAATAAAGAAATAAATAAATTTAAAAAAATAAAATAAAATGACATCTCCCTGGGAAAAAAATCTTAAAAACAAAACAAAACTTTATGGTTGGGGGTCACCACAACATGGGGAACTGTATTAGAAGGATGCAGCATTCGGAAGGTTGAGAACTAACTTAGAATACCTTCCATCAGGCTGAGGAGTTAGCTCAATTAGTAAAGGGCTTGGCACCCAAATTCCATTCCTAGAACTCACATTAAAAAAAAAAAGCTGGGTGTTTTAGCACCCATTTGTAATCCCAGTGCTTGGGAGGGGACACAGGGGGATCCCTGGGGCTTACTGGACAGCCAGCCTCGCCTGCTCAAGAAGAAGATGGATGGTACCTGGGAAATGATGCCTGCGGATGTCCTCTGGCCTCCACACATGCATGCACACGTGAGGGTGCTCCCATGTGTGTTGACATGCACATAAATAAGTAAAGTTAGTTCCAGTCCTTGTAAGGCAGAGGCAGGCAGATCTCTGAGCTTGAGGCCAGCCTGGTCTACATAGTGAACTCCAGGTCAGCCAGAGTTACACGGTGAAATCATCTCACAGAGAAAAGACAAGAAAAAGGAAGAATATGGCAAAATGTGGGGTTTGTTGCTGTTAACTGCTAAGCCTCAAGAATGCCGGAATCACTTCTCAGGCTGCTGTTCTCAGAAGAACAAAGAGCAAGATCTTCTGTTGCTGCTAAAGCTTTCCACAGTGTGACTGAAGCCTATTCATCCCCAAATGAGCAAGCGGAAGAGACAGCTCTGCTGTTTCCGCTATGAGCCATGACTGCTGTAGGCTGAGGGGACTGGATTTAGAAAGGTACCTCGGAACCACAGCAGTTGGCATTTCAGAAGAGTTTCCCACCAGAGTTTTAATTGCACTGTGCACATGTGCGTGCGAGTGTGTGTGCGTGCGTGTGTACACGTGTGCCTGGGGGCAGCTTCCTTAGGGAAGGGGGCTCCCTTCAAATCCTGCATCCCACACCAGGTGATGGTCTAGGGTAAGCAGATCTTCCGTTCTTGGCTTATGCTCTGACTGCACAGTATCATCAACGTGAGAAGAATCAACAGAGATGGGTTGGGAGGTGGGGACAGGTTTGCTGAGAGCACGGATACAGGACAGCCGACTGAACTCTGTAGAAGAAGCAATATTTTATGGGTTACATATATTCTTGCTGTAATGTAACTTCCAGACTTTGCTATCTGCAAACATATGAAGAGTTGTAGGGATTCCCCACCCCCATTTTATAGTGAGGACTTGAAGGCCAGGCACCCTGTGATGCGTTCCATTTCACACCCAAGATGGCTCTCAAGAAGCCAAGAGAAAGGCTTGAGTTGTAGAAGAAAAGAGAAGAGGCTGGAGAGACGGCTCAGCAGTTAAGAGCATTGACTGCTCTTCCAGTAGACAAAAGTTTGACTCCCAGAACCCACACATCACTTCACAACCATCTGCAACTCCAGCTCCAGAGGATCATGAGCCCTCTTCTGTCCTCCCTGGGCACCAGGCACTCATGTGGTACACAGACATATGTGCAGGTGAAATACCCACATAAAATTATCTACTTTTTTTTAAAAGCAAAGGTGGCATTCCTGGAGTCTTACCCACCACTGAGCCTGATCCAGGGATTCCTGAAATTAGCTAATAATTGAAAGTAAGATGTAGCTATAAAGCTGTGGCTTACTTTAAATGTAGCTCGGTGGTAGAACGCTCATCTAGTCTAGCCATGCTGTGGAATATTATGGGATGGTGCTGATGTACTTACACAAGAATGTAAGATGATCTCTGGGGTTGATGTGGCATGACAACACTAAGGGGCAGGAAGAGGAGCTGGGATGGGAAGACTGGCATCTACGTGGCTGGAGGAGCAGGAACGTGTGGACCACATCTATATGTATCCGTGCAAAATGACCTGGTACGGTCTCAAGCCACATAACCACATCGAGTCAATGACAGGCCACATATGCAATATTGGACCTAAAAGAATGTCATGAGATGAGCCATTATCCCCTAGTGACGCCGGAGCTGTCTGTCATTGCTGCACACAGCACCACTTGTGGGTTTACCATGTGCTATAAACACACCTACAGCCCTTTGCCAGGAATCTAAAACCATAGCACGTATGGGGCCAGAGATGTGGCTCTGTGGTTAGACTATTCGCCTAGCATGCTACAAACCCTGGGTTTGAACTCAACATTGGAAAAAAAATAAACCAACAAATCTGGTCAGGGTAGGTCATGTGGAGGCAAAAGGATCAGAAGGTCAAGGTTATCTTTAGCTGTATAGCAAGTTTGAGGCTAGCCTATGCTATGTGAGATGCTGTCTTAATATATACATATTTATGTATATGTGTATATATAGATGTGTGTGTCTACATGTGCTTTGCATTATTTTAAAGTGTGCTCTCTACTTATTAAAAATAACTTTATTCCAAATAGTTATGCAGCAGCCTTATGTAGTTCTAACTTATCACATCTTATTTGTGTGTGTGGACCGCATGAGGAGCACACACATGCCACGGAACACATGTGAAGGTCACAGGATAATTCTGTTGAGTCAGTGTGGTCATACAGAGCAGGTGCTTCACCCGCTGAGCCTCCTCGCTGACCCCTATCATGGCTTTTGTTTGCTTGCTTTTGTTTTTGTTTTTTAAGACAGGGTTTTGCTGTAGCTTTAGAGCCTGTCCTGGAACTAGCTCATGTAGGCCAGGCTGGCCTCGAACTCACAGAGATCTGCCTACCTCTGCCTCCTGAGTGCTGGGATTAAAGGCTTCCACGCGGCTTTATCACTTTATCATGACTTTTGAGTTCATTGTTTTCTCTTGAGCTTAATCTAATCTCAGGTTGTTTTGTTCATAGTGGCCCTAGGAGGAGCACTATTCTCTTTCTCTCTCTCTGTATCTCTCTCTCTCTGTCTCTCTCTCTGTCTCTCTCTCTGTCTCTCTCTCTCTCTCTCTGTCTCTGTGTGTGTGTGTACGTGTGTATAACAGGTAGTCTACTACATATACTCATTTATACAATGATAAAATCGCCGACAAACTCATTTCTCCTTGAGTGACATAGCACTGTCTCTTCCTGTGGTTTGGATGTCATCTCTCAAACTCACATTGACATCGCTTTTATTGTTTAGTTTGTTTTTGCAGACAATGTCTCACTCTTTAGCCCAGCTGTCCTGCAATGCACTATGTAGCCCAGGATAACCTCCCACCCTCGGTGGCCCTTCTGCCGGGGATCACAGGTGTGAGCCACCACAGTGGGACTCAGCTTGAATTTAACTGCCACACTGATGGCATTGGGAGGTAGGGCCGTACAGAGGTGATCAGAAGTGGGCGTGGTGGCACCCACCGGTAGTCCAGCCGGGGACAGTACAACATGGTGGGAGTGCACGGCAGAACTGCACACCGATGGCAGAGAGGGGCAGAACGAGCGAGAGGAAGGGGCTGGGTGCCATCTCTTGAGGGTCTATCACCTTCCAACATTCTACAAGCTGACAGCCAAGCCTTCAGTACCCTCACTTCTTGAGGCTTCTCTCTGAGGGCTGGTCTCTCATTGTTGCTGAGCCCTCCCTGTGGCCACTTCTGTCCCCACTCTGTTCAGGTCTGCACAGGCACCGCAGTCTGCGGGACCCCGCCTCTAGCGGGGCCCACTGACCAGACCAGCAGCGTATCTACTCAAGATCACAGCTCGTAGTTGCAGTCACGGGTATAAAGTCTGTCTTAAAGCAGCACAGGTTTACGACTTTACAGCTCTGGGTCAAAATTCCCAAACCAAGGTGTTGCCAGGCTGTGCGTTCCTCATACGGCCACTAGGGGGAGCCCCTCATTTGCCTTTTCCTGGTGCCAGAGGGCCCTGAATTCTTTGGTTCGTGGTCCCTACGTCCATCCATCTTCTAAACCAGTGCAGCATCTACCCAACTTTACATCTCCTGAGTCCTCCTGCATCTCTCTCTCCGCCCCCTCTCTGCCAGCTCTGGTTAACAGCGCTAACACTGGCCCCCCTTTCACTCTCTTATATACACCTAACTTACTAAAATATATTCCCAGGTGCTGGGGGTTGAGACAAGGACATCTTTGCAGCTCATTCTTCTGTTAGCTGCAATTGCCGATAGGGACACTCCAAACCCCCTCTAGCCTGAGCCCATAGGGACACTCCAAACCCCCTCTCTCTTAGTTAGGGTTTCTATCGCTGTGATAAAACACCATGACCAAAAGCAGCCTGGGGATGAAAGGGTTTATTTCATCTTCCAGTTCCACATCTCAGACTGTCACTGAGAGAAGTCACCACAGGAACTCAGGAGGGCAGGAGCCTGCGTGAGGCAGGAGCTGATGCAGAGGCCATGGAGAAGTGATGGCTACTGGCTTGCTCCCCGTGGCTTGCTCAATCAGCTTTCTTCTAGAACCCAGGACCCCCAGCCCAGGGATGGTACCACCCACAGTGAACTGAGCCCCTCCCACATCCATCACCGGTCAGGAAAATGTACAAAGGCTTGCCCACAGGCCAGTCGGGTGGGAGCATTTTCCTAACTGAAGTTCCTCTTGCCAAAGGACTCTGACTTGTGTCGAGCTGACATAAAACCAGCCAGAACACCCTCCCTCTGGGGGGGGTGGGGGTGGGGGCTCCGGTAGTGTAATATGAAGATGCTAAACTGAGCAGGTAAGAAAAGAACTTGTCGGGTGTGATGAGATTGCAATATGGCCCATGTGTGCTACAGGGGATGCAAGGTGCCACAGAGCAAGAGAGTAAAGGGAGACAAGGGTTAATGGGAAGGTGAGGGAGATTACAGAAGCTGGGTACAAGCTCGGGTCCTCCTGCAAAGATCAGTACTGAAGGCGGAGTCAGCATGAGGCTGAGCAGGCAGCTTCTGGGCCCACGGCTGGAAGGGTGGCCTTGCTGCAAGGCTGCGGTTCTTTGTGCAAATTCATCATGATTTTTGTGCAAGGCTGTGGTTGGGAAAGAGTCTTTGGAGACAGTTATTGTCATCAAATAAATATACGCAATGATCCTCTTCATAAATGTCTCCACCTGGATGAGCCCGTCAGAACAGAGATTGAATTTTAACCCCTGTTGGACAGGAGAACCAGGCGGGACCTTGGAGTGTGACAGTAAGTAATAAGAGCTGGAGAAATGGCTCAGAGGTTAAAAGCACTGGCTGCTCTTCCAGAGGTCCTGAGTTCAATTCCCAGCAACCACATGGTGGCTCACAACCTGTACTGAAATTTGGTGCCCTCCTCTGGCGTGCGGGCAAATATCGGGGCAGAATGTTGTATACATAATAAATAAATCTTAAAAAAAAAAAAGAAGCCTGAGCTAATGGGCCAATCAGTTTATAGTTAATGTAGACCTCTGTGTGATTTCTTTGAGACTTAACGACTGTGGGAACTGGGCAGGACAGAAAACCCCGTCAACATTTCTGATCATCTGTTACATCTGTTTACTGAAGGTCCCCGAACGCTCTGCAATGAGGGAATGAAATACATTGAGTAAATGGATGAACGAAGGGATGAATGAGTGAGGGATGAATGAGTGATGGTGGAATAAATGAGCAAATGGATAAAAGGGCGAGTGGATGAGCCGATGGCTGGGCGAATGACGGGCAAATGAATGAGTGAATGAATGAATGGCAGCTGCCTTTGGGCTGACCTGCCCTAGGCAACACAGCGAGGAGCCGGGAGAAGGAGAAGAAAATGAAGGAAGAGACAAGTCCTTGGGAGGAAAACTAAGTGCGCTCTGGCTGGGCGCTTGGCACTTGGGCCTTCCCACCATGGCTGACTCACACCAGGAAGTAGGGCTCTCCTTTCCCTGCCCACCCCTCCTCGTTGGCAGTCTAGTTTAGTGGCCGGACTAAACCTACGTGCCTTCGCTGTTTGTGGTTCCAGCAGTCTATTTTTGGTCACAGCCTCCCCACTTCCTGCTTAAGTCTCTTGAGCCCTATCGGCACAATCCAGTGCCCACTGCTTTTTCAAGTGGAAAGAGTCATTGGTAGGTTTGGGGCTGAGGCGTGGAACAGAGCCGAGAGCACAGCAGTGCTCTGTGAGCTCTCCCCACAATCCCTGCTGCCCCCCAGACTTCCCTGACACTGTGGAGCATGGCTTTGGGCATGCACCATCTGCACGTGTATGTTTCTTCCCCTTTTGTGTCTCAGAACGTCAGTACAAGAAGCGCGGGAAGTATCTGGGATGGCTCATGGGTGTGCATACCGCAAGCACATACACATGTGGTGGGTGGGGTGCATGAGCTGGAATCTAAACAATCCAGGCTGGGGAGAGCCCTAGGTTTAGATTCCCCAGCACCACAAATAATGGGCATAATGGTACACACCAAGTGGATATTCCCAGCACTAGGGAGGTAGAGGTGAGAAGATCAGACGTTCAAGGTCATCCTTGACTAGACAGCAAGTTCAAGGCTAGCCTGGGCTATAAAGGATCCTGTCTTTAAAAAGACATCTACAGAAATCACCAATAGCCATCACCTCTCCACTCTTTGGAGAGGTCTTACCCTTGAAGTTGCTTCTGGAGCAATATGAAAAGTTCTAAGAAAAATTACTGCATCAGATGTGGTTTTCAAGGCCCCTGTGGCTGCTGCGGGCTGGAAACACTCACAGCCACCTTTGGATTCAAGTTTAAAATTACCCTGGTAAGAAAACACTGTTGTGTGTTCTATGGGGGAGCAACAGTTACAACTTACCCTCTCCAGCCCAGTGGTCACATCCTTCCCAAGCAATTGTACCCCAAAGGCTCCTCTGATTTCAAAGCTGGGCTTTAATATGGGGCCACAGGCATATAACAGACGTCGTTTTCTTTCTTCTCCTTTAAGAAGATGTTTTAAGCTTTATTTCATCTTTTACCTAGGAGTCCAGAGGAACATGCCCCTGACCTTGGAGTCATGGGCCAGGCTCCTCCCTCAGAGCTTGGCTTTGGTTCTCTGTGAGATGGGGGAGCTGGTGTTTCGTGCCTCTGCAACTCCCCTTCCTTTACATTCTCATGGTTCTTCACGGTTTCTCCACATTCCCCAGAGATCACTGACGTCCCTGCTGGGTGGACACTACAAAGCTAACACCAGTGTCCTTCTCTATGAACCATGTCACTTCCCAAAGCCCCAAGGGATGCAGCGGCTATGTCTTCCACACCCAAAGGTAGAATGAAATGCAGGCTAAGAGGAGAGAGCCAGTGGGGACAAGCCTCTGTCCCCATGGAGCCTTGGTTCCTGCTCATCTTGAGTGAAGCCAGCTAGGCTCATGACATTGAGGGCAGCAGCCTGTAGGCAGCTCAGGAATGTGGTGGTCACCATTGAGAGGATCAGGTGACAGGGAGTCACAGGTGAGGGTCAGAGAGGCTTTCTCTTGGGCTTCCGGACCTCACTGTACTCTGCTTCTGTGTTCTGAGGTGGCCGTGGGGAATTCCCATTGGTGTGAGAATCCTGCCTCTCTGAGTCAAATGCCATGGATGCATAGTGGAGCTCTTCCTGGGGGAATCTCTGCGGAAAGAGACCCCAGATTCAGGCCGAGAGAAGAAGGGTACACATATGCCTTAACAACTGAACTCACCGACCCACCTGGTGAAACCACAATGGGAAGTCCCCGTGCTGGTTAAACCACGGCCAGCAGAAGTAGCCACAATGACACAACAGGTCTAAGGTTTACTGGCTATGTTTGGTCACAGGCTTACTTAGCTACCAGGTGATGCCAGGCTGTGGAATAATCTTTTGATACGTTGTGAAAATGTGTTGCTCTCGTTGGTTTAATGAAGTGGTAACTGCCCAGTAGCTAGGCAAGAAGAGGTTAGGTAAGAGAGCCAGACTGAAAGGATGCTAGGAAGAAGGGCAGAGTCATGGGGAGTCGCCAGCCAGATGCAGAGGGAGCAGGATGTGTAGAAAATGTCACAAGCCATGAGCCTTGTGACAGCACATAAGATAAATATTGGTTAATTTAAGTTATAAGAGCTAGTTAGTAATAAGCCTGAGCTATCAACTGAGCTTTTGTAATTAATAGTAAGTCTCTGTGTGGTTATTTGGGAGCTGGCTGGTGGCATAGATGCTTTTGCCAACAATGTCAGGCTATTGCCAGTTCCATAACTGGGAAGACATGAGGACATGTCATGTGGTGAAGGGATGGGGTTTGCAGACACATGGTATCATCTGAGGAACCAGAGACAGCCAGCTGCTTAAAATAAGGATATTGGGGTCCCTGCCCACATCTCATTCTCAAAAGACACTGGCATGGGACTGGAGAGACTCGGTGGTTGAGAGCACTGGCTGCTCCTCCAGAGGACCTGGGTTCAATTCCCAGCAACCCATATGGCAGCTCACAACTGTCTGTAATTCAGTTCCAGAGGATTCAACACCCTCATACATACATGCAGGCAAAACACTAGTGCATGCAAAATAAAACTAAATGAATTATTTTTAAAAAAGACACTGGCACAAGTGAGGAGAAGTCATGGCTTGGGTGATCCAGAATGGGTGTGGGACAGAACCCCTCCCTGTTTCCTTCATGGAGCTGGATCAGCAGCCTGGGTTGAATGGGACCAGAGCAGACACATTCAGGGATGGGTCACTTTTTCAGAATACGTCATCCATCTCCTGCCCACAAACTATGACATCCCATGGGCATCCGAGAAGGGTTCAGTGGGCTCTGAGCCTGGGGTGGGGGTGGGGAGTCTCCCTAGAGAGCCTTTGATTTTTAAATCTCCCTCAGCTTCTGTTTGACCCTCCCTGAAAATGGCAGGTCTAAAGAATTGATACCAAAGAGATGAAGGCACCAACACTAGGAGAAATAGCAGATTGTGTTTGATTGACTGTTAAGACCTTAGATGCTGGCCACTCCTGTAATCCTACTTCCTATTCCCAGCTACCTGGTCTTTCTAAGGGCCTCCACTTTCCCTGTATCTCCACCTGACCCATCTTCTATATAGCCATCCTGAGCCAGTGTTCCGTTCCCTCTCTCTCCTCCCCCACCCGTGTGTGGTACCCTTGCATGGCCCAGGATCCTCGTGCCGTGGGAACCGGGCTCTCAGACTTACCACTGTGCTGTATTCCACCTCTACCTGTCTTGGTGGTGCCTGCTCTTCCCTCAGGGACAACGTGTGCAGCTGTAGATTCACATACTGGGACTCGCTCTGCTCAGCAGCCTGCAGAAGGTCGGGAGTCATCCATGGAGTTATCCCTCCCACCCCCACCTCCCCACCTGCTCCTCTGAAGACATTTCCCACCTACTTCACTGTGCGACCACCCTGCCTCCCCAACCCTGTTCTCTCTAGGATCCCTCCTTCATCCAAGTCCACTGTCGTGGCCAGAGGGGGACAGACTGGACAGAACTTGGGACAAGAGTTGACCACTAGATCTCCAGGTGCTGTTCTCCTGTTCTGGAACAAGTCCATCTGCCCAGTACAGGGATTCCCTTCCTGCCCCCTTTTCCTCTCTTCCTGTCTGGCCACCCTGACACACTTCCCGACCTCCTGATGTAACTACCTTACCTGCCGGAGGTTCTGGGACACTTCTGGATGCTTATCAGCTAGAGACAGAAAGAGAAGGAGGTGAAAACGCAGACAAAAGTGGGCAGGGAGAAGAGGTGTGCTATACCCTGAAAGGCTTTCCTTGGAGACTTCCACCATAGGTCTGGGGTTTCTAGGGCATTCAATAGTAGTGGAAATGCTATAATATGTTAAGTATAAAATTACAGGTTTAAGTGGCATGAAGTTTTTGTTTTGTTTTTTGAAGTGTGTGGGGGGGTGTCTTGCTATGTTGTCCAAGTTGCTCTCAAACTCTCCTAATCCTCCTGCCTCAGTCTCCCAAGGGTTGAGAGTACAGAGATGTACCACCTTGCCTGTCTATGAAGGAAGATCTCTAGGAAATCACACATGGGGCTGGAGAGATGGCTCAGAGGTTAAGAGCTCTGGTTACTCTTCCAGGGGACCTGAATTTGGTTCCCAGTGCCCACATCAGTCAGCTTACAACTGCCAGTAACTCCAGCTCCAAGGGATGCATGCTCACTTCTGACCTTCAAGTGTTGCACGCATGCACACACACACACACACACACACACACACACACACACACACACACCTCAACACACATATACACTTAATTAAAACATGGAATTTTATTGTATTTTATTTTTTTGCTGAGCTTTACCAAAACAAGGTAGGAAATTCTTTCAGAATTCCCTACTTCATAGGAAAGTCTGTTAGATATGCTAGGCCTTTAGGCCAAAGATGGATGCCCTAGCATTGCAGAGGCGCCTTTGATGACTGTCCAGGTAACCAGCTGCTTCTGTCATTTCTCACAGTTTTTGAAAGTTTCTTACTTGTACTTCCTGCTTATTCGGGTAATGTTATTTTTCTTCTCAAGTCTTTGATGAAGTTCAAGACTAGATAATTATAGTTATAGTCTTTTTTAACTATGATAAAAGATAAATTTGATATAAGACTTTAAACTCATCAAGATAGGATAGATAATTAAATTTTCTCTAATTTTGTCAAATACAAATGGACTAAATATTGTAACTATAATTCTTACTTGATAACTGTTGTGTTGTATTTAATTTTACTATGTTAAAACCTTCCTGCTAGGCAGTGGTGGTACACGCCTTTAATACCAGCACATGGGAGACAGAAGCTGGTGAACCTCTGTGAGTTCAAGGCTAGCCTGGTCTACAGTGTGAATTCCAGGACAGGCTCCAAAACTACACAAAGAAACTCTGTCTCAATAAAACAAAAAGACAAACAAAACAAAACAAAAAGTTAAAAACCTTCCTTTTGTTTAGACAGAAAAGGGGAAATGCTGTGGAATAATCCTACTGTACACTGTGAGTATGTATTACTTTCACTGTTGGTAATAAAGTTGATTTGGCCTATAGCAAGACAAAATAAGGCTAAGCAGGAAAATCAAACTGAAAATCAAAAGATGAGGAAGGGCAGAGTCAAGGAGAGTGCTGTGAGCCTGCCGCCTGTGAAACAAGACATGCTAAAGAATGAAGCCACGTGGCAAAATGTAGATTAATAGAAATGGGCTCATTTAAGTTGTAAGAGCTAGTTAGTAATAAGTTAGCATATATATAATTTATATATTTATATAATTAATATAAACTTTTATGTGATTATTTGGGACCAGGTGGTTGGGACAAAAGAAAAGCTCCACCTCTGTTTACAGGTTTTTTGCTGTTGTTGGTTTGGTTTGGTTTTTTTTTTTTTTTTTTTTTTTTTGGAGACAGGGTTTCTCTGTAGTTTGGAGCCTGTCCTGGAACTTGCTCTGTGGAACCAGGCAGGCCTTGAACTCACAGAGATCCTCCTGCCTCTACCTCCCTAGTGCTGGGACTACTGTCCAGCCTATAAATATTTTTCTCCACATTTTCTTTCTTTCTTTCTTTCTTTCTTTCTTTCTTTCTTTCTTTCTTTCTTTCTTTCTTCCTTTCTTCCTTCCTTCCTTCCTTCCTTTTTTTTTTGGTTTTGGAAAAAAATTTTAAAAAATAACATAGACATAGATAAAAGACTGGAAGGAACTCGCACTCCTTTAATACAGTGACTTTCTGAGAGATGGGATTTTGATTTACCATGTACCTCAAATAATTCCTTTCCTCTTTGTTGCTTTTACTTACTTCTTAGGTTTCCTACAGCAATCCTCTCCTCACCCCCTCTTTTTTGCTTTGTTTCTTGAGGCAGAGGCCTCGAGCTCACCGCAATCCTGTTGCCTCTGTTCCCACGCGCAGGGATTACATGAGCCAACACACTCTCTAACATCTTTTCCTAAAGGGGAAGCTATCTGTGGGGTCACAGTGTTTCTGGGTGAAAGGGCACCCAAGTGAGTGTGCTGAAACTCACAGAACTGGAGCTGTCCAAGCAGGGAAAGTCCCATGTGGTTAGTGGAACCACATGAGGGCTGCAGCTTAGGAGGCCCCCCAAGAGAAAATGGAGAGCCAGACAGTGGTGGAGGACCCTTCAATCACAGCACTCGGGAGGCAGAGGCAGGTGGATCTCTGTGAGTTTGAGGCCAGCCTGGTTTACTACAGAGTAAGTTCCAGGACAGCCAGGGCTACACAGAAAAATCCTGACTTGAGACTCGACAGAGAGACAGAGAGTCCAGTTGGAAAGGGAAAACAGTTCTCCTGCTGTGCTAAGATGCTCTGAGGTGGCCGCTGCCCCATGGGCAGCCTCCAGGAGCAGTCAGAGATGAGACTGAGGCCTGGAGTCCCTGTGCCATCACCAACATCACACAGCAGCCCAGGCAACAGTTGTAGGACAGAGCTGCATCATTTCTGCTACCAACCCTCACTGAAGCCTCAGGAACATGAAAAAAGATGGCCCTGAGGGCCCTGTGCTCATGAAGTCTCAGCACAGGAAGGAAGCCAGCAGCTTCCGTCCTTTTGTCCCTCAGTCCCTGTGCTTACTCACGGTTCTGGGTTTGTTGAGAACATGCTTCCTGATGTGCACCCTGCGCAAGTCCTGTCTGTCAATCTGACCTGAGGGGGGTGGGACTTCGGGTCCCCAGGATGCTTCACGGGGTCCCTGTGTGACTAAAGATACTAAACCCAATAATGACTGAGGACGTTCTCCAGCCACGGCCCAGGCCTGAAGAGGGGCACAGGGACATGAGATGGCAGCCAGGGATGCTGCTGAGAAGCATCTAGTACAAAAAGAACCATGGTGCTAGGGGTACCCAGGAGGGCCTGAAGCCCTCTAGGAAAAAGTCCAAGGAAAGGAAATCTGAGGGCAGTGCTTAGAGACTAGGGAGTAAGCCAGGGAAGGCCAGCGGCAGCAGTTTCAGCCTGCAGAGTAAACCCAGGAGAGAGAGGGGGGCTGAGACTTCTGCCTCATAACCAAGGGGTGGGCAGGGTGCACTGTGGAGGCCTAGCAGCCCTGCAGAGAGTCTCTCAAGAGTATGGGATGCCACTGAAGGTTTTAAACGGAAGAAGACTCTGTCCCATGGGACAAGCACTTAGGACCCAAGAGAAAGGCCTCTAGGAACCTATCTCCTGAAGTATGTAACCACTATACACAGGGATAACTCTGGGGCCCTCCCTCTAGGGTCAACTTGAGTGTGAGCCGAGCCCTGAGGGTGTGTGCTTCGTGCGGTGCCTGTTTTGATAGCTGGGTACTGAAGGCGAAAGACTGTGGCTAGAATCCACCCACCCTGGAGTAGGGACAGAGGACACAGGGAGCTAACTCACCTTTGAACTGATGCTTCTGGAACATCCTCCAGGCCAGCAGAGCGGTTCCCACCAACAGGAACAGCAGAAGAGCTAACACGGACAGCAGCACCGGGAGGCTTTAAGGGGAGGGAGAATCAGGGCTGGGAATCGAACCCAGGGCCTCATGCACGCTAGCCCTTGCATCTACCTCCAGCTCCTGACTTTCAAAACAGAAAGTCAATGTTTTTTAAAAGGAATTGATGAGATGCCTCAGTGGATAAAAGCGCTTGTCACGCAAGCCTGAGGTCATGAGTTCAAGCCCCAGAACCCATAGTAGATAGCGGGGACTGACTCCTGAAAGCTGTGCGCACATATACACACTCACACACATGATAATAACAATAAAATTTTATGAAGCTGGGAGTGCTCTGGAGGCAGAGGTAAGTGGATCTTTGTGAGTTCAAGGCCAGCCTAGTCTCTACAGTGAGCTCCAGGCCAGGCTATGTAGTGAAAACTTGTCTCAAAAATACATTCATACATACATACATACAAACAAACATACATACATACATACATACATAATACATACATACATACATACATAGGGTTTGGGTTTGCAGTTTTGCTTTTTTTTGTTTGTTTGTTTGTTTGGTTTTGGCTTTTCAAAACAGGGCTTTTCTGTGTGGCCCTGGCTGTCCTGGAACTTGCTCTATAGACTAGGCTGGCTTCAAACTCAGAGATTTACCTGCCTCTGCCACCTGAGTGCTGGAATTAAATGCATTCACTACTATACTATTATATATACTATACTATATTTTTATATACTATAAAAATGTATAAAGGTCAACAGCACAGTGACATCTATCTTTACATCTCCTTGTTACACACACACACAAACACACACACAAACACACACACACTGTCAGACCCAACAATGCAGGGTTCTGCCTGCCTTGAACATCTCTAGGTTAGCCTCCAACAGCAGCATTCTTGGGTCTTGCATTTTGCCTTGTCTGGCAATCACATTTTGCCTCTAGGTTGGCAGAAAACTTGTGGGAAGGTTTCCAAGTGTGGGGTAGTGAGAAGGGGACGAGCCATGGTTCCTGAGGTGTGTGTCCCAGGATAGCTTGGAACATAGCCAACACATTTGTAAATCATGACATCATATCACGATGTCCAAAGGCTGCACACTCCTGCCTGATGCTGGGGAGTTTGCTAATAGGAGCACCTTTGTTGTTTGTGAATGAGTTGTGCTTTATAGGGTGTCCAGACCTCGGTCCATGGACCTCGTGCTTTTGGCCCTGTGTAGTGATAAATACAGCCCAACACCAAATTATAAATTTACTTAAAATATGATGAGATGGGGAAGTGGTTTTTTTTCCCCTGATGTTTTTGTAACTTGACTGCACGATTCCTGAGTGTGAAGTGTATAGATGGCAATGTTGTGGCATAGTGTCAAAAGTCTAGGTGTGCCTGTCCATAGCTAAGAGGGGAGATGACAGCATGAAGCTGCTCACCAGGACCCAGTGTGGGGTCAGAGATGGAAATAGGGCTCTCACCAGCCTGCAGAGAGGGGAGGGGCTGCAGACAAGTTCAGCCACATGCCAGCAATTCAGCCTTTGTTGTCTAATTCACAAGACCCCAGTAAAAACCCTGAAAAGAGCCAAATGGTGGTGGCCTACACGTTTAATCCCAGCATGCAGGGAGGCAGAGGCAGGAGGATCTCTGTGACTTTGAGGCCAGCCTGGTCTACAGAGTGAGTTCCAGGACAACCAGGGCTACATGGAGAAACCCTGTCTCGAAAACCAAAAAGGAAATAAATAAATAAATCTGAAAAGGAGATGAGGGAGCTCTTGGTGGAGACACACAGAGGCCCCTGGTGGTGATGCACCCTGGGCACTACCTAAGATAAATGTGGGGCACTTCTTAGGATTCTCCCAGTCTGGCCTTGTTGCCTCTTCAGCTGTCTCCTTGTGATCTTTATCTTTTTTATTTGTTTGTTTATTTGTTTTTTTATTTGTTTTGTTTTGTTTGAGACAGAGTTTCTTTATGAAATAGTCCTGACTGTCCTGGAACTCGTTTTGTAGACCAGGCTGGCCTTGAATTCACCAAGGTCTGCCTGCCTCTGCCTACCGAGTGCTGGTATTAAAGGTGTGCGCCACCACCACCTGGCTGATCTTTATCTTTTATCATAAAACCATTTTCATCAGTGATGACTCTAGTGAGTTCCTGAACCCAAGGAATCAGCGATAAACTTGACATTTATTGCTAGAAGTTAGAAATGCAGGGGGCAGAGCCCTTAGCCTATAGGGTCCACACTAACTCCAGTCAGTTACAGGATCCATTTGCAGTGCCCCACAGGGTCAGAGCGGACAGTCTGAACCCTGGAAATGGTTAGTGACCACATAGAGATTTCTGTCCATGTCCTCCATAAGGCTCCATCCATAAGCTCATATATTTAAATACTTGGTCCCCAGTTGGTGGAACTACTTGGAAAGGATTAGGAGGTGAGACCTTGTTGGAGGGGCTCTGTCCCTGGAGGGTGGACTTTGAAGTTTCAAAAGCCCACAACATTCCCAGTTATCTCTCTCTGCCTTGTGACTGTGTCACACGACAGGAGCTCAGCTACCATTCCAGCGCCACGCCCGCCCCTCTGCTGCCATGTTCTTATCATGATGGTCACGGACTCTAACCCTCTGAAACTGCTAGCCCCAAATGAACGCTTCCTAAGGTAATTTGCCTTGGTCATGGTGATTTATCACAGCCATAGGAAGATAACTAAGACATGCGGTAACATGAAGATCATGACGAGGTACGAAAGAGAACACTCTATGAAGCCCTGAGCCATGTCTGTCGGGATGTCACCAGCCCCTTCCATGCTGCTCTCCTTCCAGCACACTCTGGGTCCCCCCAGCCTGGGCTCTCCTTGTCTTCAGCGTCGGCAGGCCCAGGATGGTAAGTGACCTATGGTCTCCTACCTGGACTGGAGCCCACGACACAGGAGTGTCTAGCCAGTGGGGTGACAGCAGCACATGGCCACGATGCCTACTTGAGCCCCTCTGAGGAGAAGGGCCACCACCTTCAAGTCAGGAACCAAGGGTTCTCACCCCAAGCCCTTATAGTTCTGGAACCCCTTCTCCTGAGGGGACCACATGACTGGGGTAGCTACCTCCAGGTCAGGGACTGGGGCACCTCACCTCATGCTCAGGGACCCAGGATGCTCATGGTGTTCCTTCACGGATCCTCGGGTGGGACCCTCAGTGGTCAGACTGGTGATCAGGCTAGTGGCCGGGCTGGTGGGCACCGGAAGTATCCCTTGTGTTGGTGCTGGAGATAAAAACCACAGATCAGACCAAGCGAATCTCCTCAGACTCTGCCCCTGGCCAATGGCTTCCTTCCTCCCTCCCTCCGTCCCTCTGTCCCTCCGTCCCTCCATCCCTCTGTCCCTCCGTCCCTCCCTCCCTCTCTCCCTTTCTTCCTTCCTTCCTCCTTTTCTTTTTTTCTTTACGTTTTGAGACAGGGTCTCAATATGGAGTTTACAGCCCTAGCTGTCCCTGAACTTGTGATCCTCCTGCCTCTGCCTTCTGAGTGCTAAGATCACAGGCCTTCACCACCCTGGCCAGCTGCCAGCGGGTTGTTTTTGAGGTGATTTCACACCAACGAAGTAGCGGGATGGGACGTCCTCCTCGATCAGCTGATCTTTTGCAAGTACAACACAGCGGACACCCCCAACACACCTGAGTCAAACCACACGCTAGGTCTGCTCTCTCAGCCACATGCTGCCAAAGGGAAGTAGCTGCAAAGCTGGCGTGTCACTCGTGAAAGCTCCCTCTGCGCACAGAACTGTCACCATCTGTCCCCTACTGACCCTCTGCTCAGCCCCCAACACACCCCTGGATTCTAGCTTCCATGGGTCACTCCACAGGACACAGAACTCTGTCCTGGCCACACTTTGCTCTCTCTGCCTCCCGTCCCCTGACAAGCCAGCACCTTCCTTCCCACAGGATGCAGCTACTCCAGGACGCCACCCTGACTCTTGCCCTGTCCCTGTCTGTCCCTCCCCTCCATTCCCCACCACACACAATGTACTCTCAGGCTCTGAGCTGATTCCTGCCCCAGAAATTCCTGCCACTTTGCAGCTGTCATGATGCTATAGGGGACTTACCTGGGTGTTTATTTAAAACCACAGACACCACAACCTTGAAGGAGTCATCAATCCCCAAGAGAGAGCCATTCATAAATGGTACATCCACTCTACAGTTATAGGTGCCTGCATCCTCCCAGGTGAGGTTCTCCATGGTCACCATGAAGGTGAGGTTGGCTGGGTGGTCCCTGATGGACACTCGGCCATTCCTAGCTTCTTTTCCAGGTCTGGTCTTGACAATCTGATTACACAGTGGCAGCAGTGAGCGTCTGCACCAGTATTTGTCGTTGCTCTTGTATTTCTCCTCATACTGACACCGCACACTCAGGGATTCCCCCACAGCGCCTGTCATGGTGCTGGGGCCCTGCAGAGGGACACAGCCTGGAAAACACAAACACCAAGTCTGCACCCTCACAGCTGGATGGGGTGTAGGTCCTCCAAAAGTTCCATCCTCCATCCCCTCATCTCCCGTCAATCACCCCAGGTACCCTCCCCTTCTGCTCTGCTCCTTCCTTCAACATTAATCCCCCAGTCTCTCACACCCACTAGGGCCTCACGTTTTCAAACATGCCAGCCCTGGACATCTCAGGACCTGGGAGAATTAGCCACACCCTCACATGCTCCCACCACAGGAATATGAGCCAGAGCAGAAGACGGTGTGGCCAGCTGTATACCCTGCTCCCCCAAAGTCCTCATGACCCTGTGACCAGGAAGGGGAGTTGGGGGTGGGCAGATAATGGGAGGACTGGCTCTCTCCACCTAGGTTTACTTTGCTGATTTTGAGGTTCTGCCTTTTTAAGATTTTGTTTTAAGGTTTATTTATTATATTTGCATGTTTGTGTGTATCTGTGAGAGTTTATGTGCACCCTGCAGAAGCCCCTAGAAGCTAAACTAGGGCGTGAGGTGCCCAGAAACCAGAGTTAGAGGTGGTTGTGAGCCACTATGTGGGTTCTGGAAGCCAAACCCAGGTCCTCGAAAAGAGCAGTAAGTGAACTTAATCACTGAGCCAGCTCTCCCCGATTTTGCTTTTATTTTCACTTATGTGCATACGTGTTTGAGTGTAGGCTCGTGTACAAGAGTACAATGCCTGCAGCGGAGAAGTTCCACTTGTCTCTGAACCCTCAGCTCTGGGGATATAGACACTGACCAAGTCTAGTTTTTAAGTGGGTTCTGGGGATCCAAATGCAGCCTCTCACTTTGTCCACTAAGTCATCCCTCCAGTTTTGAAGTGCTTAATAAGTAAACACCCGTTCCCAGTCTTCCTGTGCCTTTCCCGGCCCCCAAGGATGCTTCTCCTTGCCCCCCTGCTCCCCTCCACCACAGATGGCTGACTTTGCACCTTCCACCTCTGCCCTCAGCATGGCACCTTCAAACCTCCTTAAATCCTGAAGGGAATAGAAAAAGAAAATCCAAACAAATAAAAGGAAAAATAGCCTAGATGATGTTCAAACTTCTATAAATGTGTAAATTCAGATAAAACCAATATTTGTTTCTTTGTTTTGAAACTACAAATGACCAATATGGGCCAAGAACAGAACATTTTGCTTTGTCTTTATTTCCTTTCTTTCTTTTCTTTTTCTTTTTTTTTCTTTTTTTTTTTTTTTTTTTTTTTTTGAGACAACGTTTTTCAACCCCGGCTGGCCTGAAACCCACTGGGCAGACGAGGCTCAAACTCACCGAGATCTGCCTGCCTGACTCCAGAGTGCTGGGATTAGAGACTCCTTTTCTTTGGGGAGTGGTCATTTATACATTGCCCCCGCCCCAGTGGATAACCCCACACCCATATGCACAGAGGCCGTGCTCATCAGACTCAATGGTTATTGGAAAGACAATAATAATATGAAGTTGGGATGGACTTGGGGGAAGTTGTAGGGAGGGGGAGGGCTGGATATGATCAAACTACATTGTTCACATCCGGGAACTTTTCAAAGAACAGAGAAAAGTAGTTTGTGGGGTGTAGTGGCACACACCCACTCTTAGTTTCTGCCGCAGTAGCCTGCAGCTGCCACCAAAGCAGTTAAGACATCATTTGTCACCAGGTGCCTTTCTACAGCCAGCTATGCGACATGTGCACCCCTCAAAGTGCCCACCAGGCACAGCCCGCTCTCTTGCCTTTTGCTTCTTTCTTGCTTCTCTTGCCTTTCCCGTTGGTCCCTTGCTCCTCTTCCCTGTTCTTTGCCTGTCTTTGCCGGCCTGCCCCTCTCACGTCCCCATTCCGACATGGCCTTTCCCTCTCCCCCTCCCCCAATAAACCTCGTGCACTAACTCTGCAGCTCCTGCGCGGTGTGTTTGCTTAGCGGAATACCTTGGCAGGGCCACTGAAAGCTGCCCACTTCGCCTTTCTTTTTTTATCTTTACACTCTAGAGGCAGAGGAAGGCAATCGTGGTGAGTTTAGGGTTAGCCTAATCTACATAGTAAATTCCAGGGCTACACAGTCAGCCCCTGTCCCAAAAGTAAAAGGGAAAAAAATCTTCAAAGAAAAAAAGACTAGCAGGGGGTAGTGGTTCCTTTAGCCTCAGGACAGGCAGATCTCTGAGTTCAGAACAGCCAGGGACACACAGAGGAAACCCTGTCTTGAAAAACCAAAAAAGAAAGGAAGGAAAGGAAAGGAAAGGAACAAAAAGACAAGACAGACTGACTAAATCTCTTCACAGACCTCACCACCAACAGGCACCTCTCAGGGTCTCCCAGCACAGCCCCTGTCCCCACACGCTGGTACCACCTGCTGTGCCCTCCTCTTTCCCGGTCTAACCCATCCAAAATTCTTCTCGGCACCCCTCCAGGGCAGCCACCAGCCCTCACTGTGTATGACTTGTCCCTTGTTCTAACAGCTGAGTGCAGAGCGAGATGCTGGCCCCTTCCCCCAGCAGTGTGAACATTTGGCCGTCCACCTTACACGGAGGACTCAGGGGCCACGTTCTATCTGGTGCACAGAGGAATCCAGGCTCCGGTACCTTATAAGGCATTTCCCTGAGGCCTCCCACCCTCCTGGGCAGACATCCTCCTCACCTGGAAGCCAGAAAAGCAGCAGCAGTAGTATTTTGGGCAGCCACACAGCTGAGGTCAATTGGGGCATTTCTCCCACACACAGGCCAGGCTGGACCCGCCACGGTTCAGACCCGTCGGGGACGGTCAGTCTCTGAGCACCCACTTCTGCTTTTTGTTGTGTCTAGCTGTTTTGTTTCTGACTTCTCTTAGTTCTGTTCCTGGAGCTACTGAGTAAATGAAAGAATCTGGGGGCTCCGAGGCCAGCGGAGGAAGCCCGGGTGCGGCGCAGATCCCATGACTGCCAGGGTGAGATCTGTAGCTCTCGGGTCTGCTCGACCCTGCTTGCCCAGGGTGCAGGGCCAGGCTTCTTTCTGATTGGCGCCTAGTCCCTACTCTTGTGGGCAGGATGGCAGCCTTGTGGGAGGAAGTTCCTGCTGCTTCAGCCTGGGTGGTACCCACTGTGAGACCTTCCTGGGATCTCTGCTCCCATGAACCCCAGCTCTAGGCCTAGACTCCCAAACATTAATAGCTCCAGAGTCCCTGAAGGGCGCCTGGTCTTGGAAATGTGTCTTCTAAGTCAGGCGATGGTGGTGCATGCCTTTAATCCCAGCACTTGAGAGGCAGAGGCAGGCCAATCTCTGTGAGTTTGAAGCCAGCCTGGTCTACAAGAGCTAGTTCCAGAACAGGCTTCAAAGCCACTCCCTGGTGACCAAATATTCAAATTTACGAGCCTATGGGGGGGGGGCATTCTCTTTCAAGCTACTATGATTTTTTTGTTTTTGTTTTTTGTTTTTTGTTTTTGTTTTTTCGAGACAGGGTTTCTCTGTGGCTTTGGAGCCTGTCCTGGAACTAGCTCTGTAGACCAGGCTGGTCTCGAACTCAGAGATCCGCCTGCCTCTGCCTCCCAAGTGCTGGGATTAAAGGCGTGCGCCACCATCGCCCGGCTATGATATTTTTTTAAACTAAAAAAAAAATAATAGTTTGATGGGCAGTGGTGGTGCACACCTTTATTCCCAGCACTCAGGAGGCATAGCCAGGCAGACCTCTGTGAGTCTGAGGCCAGCCTGGTCTACTTAGTGAGTTCCAAGATAACCAAAACTACATAATGAGACCCTATCTTAAGAAACTAAAATTTAAAAAAAAAAAATTGTATTTATGATTTGTGTGTGCCTGCTTGGCTGTATGTGCACCATGTGTGCAGTGCTTTTGGAGGCCAGAAGAGGGCATCAGATCCCCCACAACTGGATTTACAGATTTTATTTCATTGTTCTGTTCTGGTTTGTTTTGTTTAGCTTACACTTCCAGGTAGGTCACAATCCATCATTGAGGGAAGTCAGAGTAGGAGCTGAAACAGGAGCCAAGGAGAAACGCTGCTTACTAGCTAGTTCCCAGGCTCATGTTCAGCTCCCTAGCTCATACAGTCCAAGACCACCTGCCCAGGGATGGCACCACCCACAAAGAGATGGGCCCTCCCACATCAATCAAAACCAAGATAATTCCTCACAGGCATGGCCACCCATCAGTCATATCTGGGCAGCCGCCCGACTGTGACTCCCTCAGACAACCTCTCTGGCTTGTGTCAAGTTGGCAGCTGAAGCTAACAAGGACACCATTGACTGTGTTGTGCTAACCATGAACACACAGCAGAGGAGTCATAGCCGGTGATTTACATAGCCTGATCATTGTAAGATTCACAGAAATGTGGACCCCCTCCCTGCCACGTCCACAGCAGTGACTGCCGTGTAGTGACAAAATGCCTCTGCGCTGGCTTTTGCCTGCTGAAGGATTGGGGTTAGAGCTTCTTGGAGCGAAGCCCCAGGTGGTCCCCCTGGCAATCAGTGGTCGAGATAGGACCTGATGCCATAGGCAAATCTCGTATCTGGAGATGGCCCTGAGAGCGAGCCCTCCTGACACCTTGCCTGATCTTTCTCTGTATTTCTTAATTTTCTTGTTTATAGCTGACCGCTTACCAAGAGATCAAAGTACGTCCTTGGCTCGGCTCCACCGTTCATTAAAGCAGTCCTTGAGGAAATAAAGTATGCCCCACGCCACATGAGCCTGGGAAACTTTATTAATTATGAAACAGAAGCGGCTAAAGTTGATATGTTATGAGGGAATCATCATAGTGAATCAGATTTAGAGAGAAAAGGAGAGTTAGAGAAAATTCCCCTTTATGGAAAGATTAGCTAGATCTCAGAAGCCCTGGTGTCTTTATAGTAAGAATGAAAGAAAGGAAATTATTGAAAACATGAGACCAGCTTTAATATATTGGTATAGGAACTATCCTGAGAAAATGAGAAAACTATTAGGGAATATGGAGCAAAGAATAAAAAACTATATAGATAGAAAGCTAAACACAGGACCCTGGGAATTGGTCTCCCACGGTAGAATGTAAATAATGGTGTGAGACAGAATTCTAAGAGACAAAACAAAACTAAAAGTCCTTGCCAACATCTTGAGCACGTAGAGGGGAGCACATAGAAAGGAGCACGTAGAAGAAGCTCTATTTTGATTATGCTTAATCTTGATTTATGTCTGGAACCCTGAGTGGGGTGATGCAGTGAACCTGCCAAGTTCTTTGATCTGTTTTGTACAAAAACTGAAGCTTTGCAGAAGAAAAATTGCAGCAGATTTTCACTACACAGTGTGTCTGTCTGTCATTTCCCTTGCATCGTATCCTGGCTATCCTATCCTTCACCCTGTTCTCCCGTGGATAGTGGTCGCCGAGAGGGACGGTCCGTGGCACCTCCCCCAGATGTCCTGTGATCCAAAAGGCACTGTTGTGGGCTTGAACACCCAGGCTAGACAGAGAAAACAGAGACTAGGCACTCATGGGGCTGGTTCACTTGCATCTGAGTGAGCTTGACCAAAACCCATGGCTTTATAAACTGGCTGTGATGGTAGATCTGTAACCCCAGCTTTTGGGAGGTTGAGGCAGGAGGATCTGATGTTCGAGGTCACCCGTGGCAATAGAGAGTCTGAGGCTAGCCCAGGCTACATAAGATCCAGACTCAAGAAGGAGGTGAGGGTGATGGGAACATGGCTCAGTGGATAAGAATGCTTGTTGTGTAAGCATGAGGACCTGAGTTCGAATCCCCGGCACCCATGTAGAAATCAGGACATGGTGATACTGTGAGAAATAAATCCTGATGGTCATTCTCAGTGTGAGATATTTTCAGAGTTAGTAAGAAAGCCCCAGGTAATGCAGGTGAAGGTAGGCTCCTCTCCCCCCAGGTGATGGACAGTGCCTGCTTGTGTTGGAACTCTGAGAGTTGGGAAGTTGCTAGGAGAATGAGCTCAGGTTTAGAAAAGGAGGTAGCCTCCTGCCCCAGGACATCCCTTAGATAGGCTCTGCATCCTGAACCAATGGAGTGGGGGTTTGGGGAGGGGGCTATGCTAGAAAAAGGTGAGATTGTAGCTGTCCAAAGTACCAGTCTGTGGAAAACTGGTCTGGAACTGGGGACTTTAGAAACCTCTGTCTTGCCAAATCGGTACAGCAGCCATCTTTGCCCGTTCTCCATGCTGGTTTCCCTTTCTCCAGAGTGTTTAAATCTGCTCCACCTTCACTAGTCTCTAATTTATTACAGAGCGGGGTCTTGTTCCCACAACACGCATCCGAGGGCGGTGCTGAGGGTGTGGATGATATGGGGACAGGATTGCTGGGCCTTGCTGGCCAACAGCTATTGCACAATTAATTAAAAAAAAAAGAGAGACAGAAATTGGGATTCAGCCTGAAGGTCAGAAAAGCAAAACAGCCAGCCATTGGATCTTACCTCTACCTCAGTCCGAAATGGCGATCCTCCCTCCGGGAATCTCAGAATGAGACTGTGACTGAGAGCTGTCTCCTTTGGTCTTCTAGTCCTCTCTAGTTCTGGGATTAAGGGTGTGCACAACTACCACTTGGTTTCTATGGCAAACTAGTGTGGCTGCTGGGATTAAAGGTGTGTGTCACCACCGTCTGGTCTGTAAAGCTGATCAGTGCGGCTGCTTTACTCTCTGAACTTCAAGCAATCTTTATTTATTAAAATACAAATGAAATATCACTACAAACAGTCTAGTCAAAAAAACGGTGAGTTCCTGGTTCAACGAGAGACGCTATCTCAAGGGAATACCATGGAGGAAGACACTGGACATCCTCCTCTGGCTTTCACACACACGAACACGGGTATGTATGCCTACACACACTCATGCACACACAGAGATCCTGTGGCTTATGTAAAAGATCAGCAATGACAGCCCATTTGTGGGAATGAGTGGCTGTGAGGACACTTGAATATGAGCCTCCCTTGATGTCCCAGACTCGTCTCCTCCCAAGAGGACATGTCTTTACTTTTAGTGAAAGGCAACAGGAACAGCAGATCCAATGGGAAAGGACGATGCACTTTGAATCGTATTCAGGAAGCCATTTTCCTTGGAATGGAGAGAGACTTGAACTATTGTAAAGAGGAGTTGGTCTGAGCCCATTCCTGCCATGTCTATCCTGCCAAATAACCCTGACACAATGGAAGACACCGAATGAAGGGAAATCACCACAGGACACTGAGGGCCTCTTCTCAGGGTGGATGAAAGGTAGATGTCATTGAGGAAGGGTACTGAGGTGACAGATGGGGGCCATTGGCTCCTGCACATTGGATGACCCCCCAGAAAAGATGTGTGGTCCTCGGTTATATAAGAGGGAAATACTTCTCTGGGTCTCTTCCTGGTGCAGTTTTTTTTTTTTTTTTTTTTAAGTTTTGTCAGTTGTCCAGGGCCTCTTCAGGGGTGCAGCTTTTCTTGTATTATCTATGCCATGGGTGGGACTCCTCAGCGTCGTAGTTGCCTGTAAGTCACGGGGGTGGGGTGGGGGTGGACCAGGGTGGGTATGACACACTTCCCCATGGTCTCATCTCTTTGAATCACCCATGCCTCTGTAAGAAACCACAGTAAAGTCAATGGTTCACCATGCTGGACTTGACAGAGTTCTTTTCTTGTGTCCATTGGCATTGTCTCTATCTGGGGTGAGACACTCTCCAGTTCACCTCTTTCTGGGATAAACAATCCTTTCTTTTCATATCTCCAAGGATTCCAGAGATGGCTCTGAGCCTCTGCGTGTTCCAGTGTAAGTCAGAGGCTGGGCCCTCAGCAAGCACGGAAAACAGGAAGCAGGTCTGTGTGGCTGTGTTTCCCATGGTAGGAAGAAAAGCCCTGTGGCCACAGAAGTACCCAAGAAAAGCGGAAAGAACAGACTTCCTTGTACATCCTAATACTCAAGCACTCCTGCCGTGACTCTAATGTATACAACTTGGGACTTGTGACAGGCGACACAGAGGCAAAGATACAGGCTACACATGACAAGCTGTAAAGAAGGGGGTTCCTCTGGGACAGCCTGAGGACTGGGAAGTTTTGGGTTACCTTCAGCTATCTGGCCTGGCCTGGCCTGCCACTTTTAGACCCCTGGGCCTTTCTTTGTCCCACCATCTTGCCCATCTCTGGGGAATGAACCTCG